ATTTTCTATTTTTCCTTATTGCTTGAGAAGTATATCAAATTTTAGCATAAAACTCGGTACAGGGAGGTTTTCTAGTACGAGAAACAATCCCGATCCCGTCCAAATCCCGCTTCGTCCGAAAATAATATGAACGAAGTAAAACCATTGTCGTGGTTATACTTTCTTAAGAGCCATGCACAAAATTTTACCCTTGCGGGTTCATCATCCGCGCTTAATCATATACTTTTTGCAGGTGGTATGGATGGAGCAGTTGCTCTTGAAAAATGGTATTTAATGTACATTTGGAAACTTGAAATTTTCGAGCTTCCTAACCCGAACTGTAGGATTTTCAAGGCATTTTCTATCAACTTCAGCTGTAAGTACAGTTCTGGGAGCTCCACTATGTTGGCCCATTTTTTGAGCAAAACTACCTAAAATCTAAATGGTTTTTACTACTCAAAATAAGGCTATAATCATTTCTTACCAGTTTGTCGTAACCGCTGATCGATTCGTTGGAAAGTCCTTGAATTAGGCAGGTGTCTATTAGGGAATCTGTCAGCGTACAATCGTCATGCTTTTAAAGCATTACATCTTAAATTAATAAAAAATTATTCATGAAGTTTAAAGCAATATTATGACAAACATCAAAAACCATAGCAACGCTACTCAGATACTATCCAAAGCAACTTGATTAATATGTTATAAAAATGTTTTTTCATCATGGTACAAATAATGCAATGGAACTTCTAAAAACAAATATCTCGAAAAGCTTTAGACACTTTTAACAAGTAAACCTTTTTTGTTGTGGAAATACGAGAGAATAAGATTTTTCGGTCAGTTGTTGTATAACGGATTCTTGTTTTTGATACTAGAAAACCTACCTATACCAAGTTTTGTGTCAAAATCTGAAATATTTCTCAAGCAATAAGGAAAACAGAAAATAAAATTGTAACTTTGACACCCTGTATCTCTTAAACTGTCCACTTTTTGACTGAGGTATGTTTGAGTGAATTCACATAGTTTGGTCTGTAGTATCTCCAGTTTCGAGATTTCCCAACCTTTTGCAGATGAAGATCGAATAACAAAAACCTAAAGCTATAAAAATTATTGGTCGGATTAGAGCCGGCGATCTGGATGAACTTGTCACTTTATCGTTTTAATAAGGAGTTTTTCTCTGATAGTTTCAGTTGAATTTACGGTAATATGTCGGTATAAAGTTAATCTTAAGAATTCGATTAAGAGTTATGACGGTCTCGCGAGAAGACCAAAAAGGGTGGAAAACTGTATTTTGAAAACGCTGCATTTTTCCGAGCTATATTGACTTTACATTAAGAAAATCACCCCTTGATTTGGCCAAATCAGGCTTGGCACTTTATTAACACCCCGTTACCCTCACCAACCAATCAGGGAACGTTGTTGCAACGGATTCGTAACTAGGTATCCATGTGGATCCCGTTAACGCAAATTTTTTTCTCATCAATAGGGAAATATGGTTATTGCATGCATAATATGTATGATTTTTGTTGTATGACCTGTAAATTACTATTCATTCACAATACTGTTTTACAAAAATGAGCAAATGGAAATTTCGAGGGAATATTTTTTAGAGGCAATTAATCATTCTCCGGGATCACGGGGCACAGATGGTCGCAATGCTACCACACTTCGCGCCATTGTTTCCTCAGATCTAAAGTAAGATAAATATACAATCTTTTCAATTTATGTTGAATAAGGCTCTACATTAATATAAATGATTCCCACACAAAATGCAAACTCCAGTAAAGCATATCTGAGCGTTGCAGACGATTGGAAATGGGCAAAGATTCAGATCTTATAAGATAATGGCGTTCTTGCAGTTAGATTGGCGTTCATGACTAATAGCATTTTCATTTGATGAAACTGAAGCACCTACCGTGTTCAATACACGTTGCTCTAGTTCGTCCTGAATTTGCCCAAAAAAAACATTAACATTTTGATTTCTGGTCCAACGAAACCACCATAAATGCATAATACAATGCTGTGATAATTAAAAATCGCCATTTTGAGGTGGCCACCATATTGGATTTAGACTAACTCACTTTGCTGATCTCTTTTGTTTTTTCAAGCCCGTTTATGTGATACCCATATCATGGGGGTGTGACTATGGAAATTGTAAGACACTATTTTGCGGCGGCCATCTTATTGGATTTAGAATAACGTCACTTTACACATTGACTTTTTCTCATCCGACCTTTTTATTTGACATGTATGACATAATGATTAGTATGAAAATTTCAAATCTCTATTTTGCGGTGGCCGCCACTATAGATTTAAAATGACGTCACTTTGCTTGCTATGTTTCTCGCATCAAGCAGTTTCATTTCATACTCATATCATATGGGTCGCGGTTGCTATGGAAACGATAAATCATCATTGTGTAGCATCCGCCATATTGAATTCAAGATGACAGCATACATTCATTTTGTACTGTCACGCGAACCAAATGTGTGTATAAAGTTTCAGCTCAGTTGGTTAAACTGGTCAACCGAAAAGAAAGAGGTAAAAAGTATAGAAAAAAATCAGTGAGCATAGTATTGAAAAATTGTAACATTGAAAGTGCAACCTCATTCTCGGTAATTACTAGGAACAACCAGGCTATTTAAGGGCCAACTTCACCAACAACAGACCGTTATTCTCCACCTATAGGGTAACTGACCGACAAATACAATGAATGAGCTTCAAATTCCAATCAACAAATTTTAGCAACCAATAGCTATGAAAACAAAATACTGTCAAAGTATGAGATGACAACTTGTCATTGAAACATCACCAGCTTATTGAATATTAAGAAATTACATATAATTCAGTCAAAATTTTAAGAAATGTTGGATGTTTGAATAAAATTCATGTTTTAATTACTATTGTGGATTTTTTATTCATGTTTATATTATTTTCTTCAATTGATATGCGATACTGGGTGTTTTTTCCTATAAACCTCTTGCAGATAGCCATTAAGCACCTACTTGATGACAGGCTCTACCAAAAGATATTGCTCGATTCCAAACATTCATTCATTTACTTGCCGTTCATCAGAACCATATGCCTTAAAGCTACCAGCAAACCTAAAACCTGCAAAAAAAACTACAAATTTGCCATATTTTTCTTTTTTCACGGGTACACATTCTAGGTTATATTTATATTAGACATTATTTGCATACAGCTGATTATTGCATTTCAAGGAGTGACACATGTGTGGGATCAGTCAACTCTTGGTATCAGTCACAAAACATATACTCTGAAGGTTTAATTCCATGCTATTCAATGACAACACGGTGACTTGTGTGGTTGTCATCGACCATTTTGAAAGGGTGCGCCAGGGTTGCCAGATTGTGCATTAATATCCCGTTTCACCCTCCTGGTCCCAGTGGAGTAAGTTCCGCCAACTGTTGAAATATACTCTACTATGCTTTATAAGACTATTCGTGACATTTTTTCCAAAATCATTGCACAACACTTGAAAAAATGCAAATGAAAATTTAAAATTATTTCCATGACGCAGCAAAATAGCTCCGTCGGTACATTGGGTTATACATCTTGACAGTAGGAATGTTCGATACGATCCTATATTTAGAAGTATCAATACATTTCACAAGTATCGTCATCTTTCGATCCGGACTGTGTCAGAAAGAGTGACTGCCATTTGGCTGCGACATTACCCTGCCAAATCAGACATATCTTTCATCATTGTCAAATAAATTGTACAAAATCTTCAAATTTGTGAAGTTAGCGAGTTTCACTTCATACGTTGTTACCAGACATGCCCAAATCATCAGTTGCTGCCATGATATTCATCCCGACCACTGCATCCCCACGGCTAGGCGACCTGTATGTTAAATTTGTATTGATAGGGCAGCGGGTTATGCTATAAATCATATGTCACAGTGTTTGTGCACTGATTGCAACGGTTATGTGATACCAAAAATATTTTCATAAATAGGAGATCTTTCCCATTCCGGATCGAACAATCTACCAAAGATGCTTATAATCATGATACCTCGTAAATTTTCACGAAAAAAATTCAAAACCAGCAAATATAAAAGATTCATTTCGCACCCTCCACCACGGGACGTGATCGTCGTTAGACTTTGCAACTCTACGAGTGACAGATAGATATCCCCGCCAGTCAAAAAGACAAACATTACTAGTTTTTATTATTTTTGGACTTAAAAGACATTATTTGTGAAACATTTCTCATAATTTTTTGTCTATGTCCATAGTAATTGCATTATGGGATTGACACGTCTTACACATATTGTCTATGTTTTAGGATGGAGAGGACATAATGTTTTATTGCTTTGAAGAACTTCATTAACCCATAAATTAATATATGATTACTATTATGACGTAAAAGAAGATGAGGAATTGGATGGAATGTATTTTATATTCTATTTTCTTGCAAAATACAGACAAATCCACACTATTCAACAGGTATGTAATGATAACTTTCAGTATATTGAAGTTGGTAAATTCGAAAGTGCCATGCATTAACAAACGTCCAAATCTGCTGCCAAATTTAACAGCTAGAAAATCGACCTATTATTTGCCGCATTCCCATTGGCTGAGGGGGATAACGGATTGTTAAATGTAAACCTATAACATATATCAAAATACATGAAAGTTTTCCTGTTTTTTCTGTACAAAAGCATCATGTTGGAATCAAAAAGTGGTCTTGTTTATAATACAGTCGAATTTTCACGATTTTATTCAATATTTCAATAGAAATCACTAATATTCAGAGACCTTTGACAGCTTCTGTCAAATTGCATTTCGATAAGGTATTTTCCCATTGGTCCATAATATTAATGTTGGTGAAATCGGCCCTTAGACTAGCAAACGCCTTTCAACAAAGCTTCTGGTCGAGAGTTGATTCCTGCCTTGTACTGAAAAGATGTGAGGCGGAGTTCTCGGCTCTTCCAGATATCTCAAGACTCCGGCAGTTTTCCACAAAACTCTAAAGTTGAATGTTTAACTCATAAAAAAAGGATCTAAGACCGATCTTTACAACTATAGACTTATAGCTCTGCTTTCTGTTATAAGTAAGGTGACAGAAATGCAGATAAATCGCGAGCTTCTAGACTACCTCGAACGTCACGGCTTGATTACCGACAGGCGGTATGGTTTCCGGCACCAGCGATCCACAGGGGACCTCGTAGCTTACGTCACACACCTGTAGGGTAAACTCATGTCCTTTGCGTTGCTCCTTATATTACGAAAGCGTCCGATCAGATCTGGCTTGCTTCTAAAAGTTATATCAAATAGCACGTAGTTTCGGCCGGTCGGAGTCCGGATCACCGAGGACTTGATCTGGCACGAACACATCCCGGCAATACCGGCAGCTGCTGGGAAAGCTACGCCATTTGTACAAGACCCAGATAAGGCCTACCCTCTAGTACTGCTTACATGTTTTGTGCCTCGGCACCCTTTCGAACCGCCACGCGGCGAGTCGTCGGCTATCTAGTTCTAGCCCCCAGCGGGCTTTGCTTGTCGGAGCTCTCCTCCATTATGTCGCCGCACGATATACCCAACTTCGTAAGTCGAGAACTGGCAGACACGACCGCTCCTTTATCCATAGGGTATTAAGATTGTCGAACAATCTACATGAAGCTTTTTCCAGTTCTACTTACCTTGGGCAATTCATCCATCCACCCACTATGATCTAGATTTAATGTCATATTTTTGTTTCACACTTCAAATCAGTTGTGCTCAAGTCACCAAGAACTGATTAAGGGCTCGCGCAGAGAGAAAGCGTTCCGAGTTCTGCGTTTCGAGTTCTGCGTTCCACGTTGTTTGTAACTAAGGGCTCGCGCAGACAGACAAGCGTTCGAGCCAATCTATTAGTTACAAAGAACGTACAACGCAGAACGCGGAACTCGGAACGCTTTCTGTCTGCGCGGATCCTTATAGATCTCTATAAAGTCGCGCGGACACAGCGGCGGTCAGACTGCGCCGATCAGTGTGAACGCTCGCGTTCGTGCGACCTATTGTCAGATATACAAAAAATTGACTTCCATAGAAAAATTAATTTATTTAGTATTGAAAGGCATTTTTTATATGATCTTAGTAACGCATACTATAGAAATAGTTTTAAAAAATGCAGCATGGCTTGAAATAGCCACAGAAATGGGAAAAAAACTGATAATCTTTTTTTGAAGATATACCCTTTCTCCATGTGGTTTCTTGTTACTCTATTTCCTTTTTCTCTTCAGAAGTATATAAAAAATTGTTCTTCATCTTCAAGCAATGCAGAAAAAAGAACACTGAACTCGACTTTTTCATCTCTCTTACAATTAATCGGATTCACCCAGTATATTTTTTTCTTATTAGACTCTTCCAAACTCCACAAAAGCAATGCTTCGTCTTCTAAAGACGAACTATAAAAATACGTTTCACCTACAAGTAATCTTCGTAAAATGAAACGCAGTGTTCGTGATTGCCACCTGTCTGTGTTAGAACTCGTGAGAGGAATTGACCGAAAGAACGCGGCTTGAACGCTAAACGCTTGTCTGTCTGCGCGATGCTTTAGTTACAAAGAACGTGGATCGCAGAGCTCAGAACGCTTGAACGCTTTCTATCTGCGCGACCGGTTAGTCAGTTTTTGGATGCTTGAGCACAACCGATTTGGAATGTGAAACACAAATATGGCATTAAATCTAGATCGTGGTGATTGGATGGATGAACTGCCCAAATTAAGTAGAACTGGGAAAAGCCTCATGTAGATTGTCCCACAATCTTGATACCCTAAGGATAAAGGAGCGTTTCGAAAGAGCTCCAAGTGTTCCGAGTTACGCGTTCTGGGTTCCACGTTCTTTGTAACTAATAGATCTCTATAGAGTCGCGTTCTTGCATTCTTTTGTCAGAAATACACAGAACTCGTGGAATGCTCCGTTCGCAAGATGGCTTCCATAGAAAAATAATTGATTTAGTAAGGGAAAGTTAAAATACTTAAAAAAATGCGGAATGACTTGAAATTGCAAGTAACTGGTTTACAATATTTCCACATGGAATGTTATCGAAAGTTGTATTAAATGGACATACTGAAATGAGGGTAGTACGAGGGATATCCTTTAAGTTTTGCATATAGAAACATAGTAGGCCACGCATATGGACCGTCAATACTGAATCTTAACCTCACTCTTTAGTAAGCTTAAATTCAAAGTTTCACAACAATACGTGCAGTGTTCTCACTACAGTGAATTTTTAAGTGTCATCTAGTCGTTAGAAAAATGGAACTCAACCGAGAACATTTTCACGCCATAATTTATTACAACTTTCAGAGACAATTATCGCAACAAGAATGCCGTGCTGAGGTACTGTCTGTTTTCGTCAACGAAGCGCCACATCAGTCGACAATTTCCCGTTGGTATGGAGAATTCAAACGTGGACGGGTGAGTCTTAGCGACGATTCCAGGGTGGGTGCACCAAAAACGTGCGCAAACTCATCATTGAAGATAGACATGTGACATATCGCGAGATTGAGGCGTCCTTGAAGATCTCAAGGACCTCAATTCAAAACATTTTACATGAAGAATTAGGAATAAGAAAATTAGTTTCTCGTTGGATACACCACCTCTTGACTGAAGAGCAGAAAGCAGCCATTGTTAATTGGTGTCAAAAAACTCTTGACCGTTTCAATTCCGGAAACTCAAAAAAATGTGTACAGCATTGTTAGTGGTGATGAATCGTGGATTTACTGTTATGAACCAGAAAATAAACGATAGTCGGCTGTTTGGGTGTACCAAGGTGAAGAAAAGCCAACAAAAGTCATCCGCTCTCGAAGTGTTTCGAAAAAGATGGTCGCGACATTTGTGTCAAAAGCGGGTCATATTGCAACAATTCCTCTTGATGAGCAAATAACTCTTACTGTGGATTGGTATACCATCATTTATTTGCCAAAAGTCATCACCGAGCTTCGAAAAATCAACCCCGAAAGAAGAATCATCCTTCACCAAGACAATGCAAGCTCGCACACAGCCCAAAAAACAAGGCAGTATTTAACGGAAGAAAACGTGGAATTATTGGATCAACCTCCATATAGTCCTGATCCAAGTCCTAACGATTTCTTTACTTTCCCGAAAATTAAAAAAAGACTGCGTGGTCAACGGTTCCAGTCACCAGAAGAAGCAGTTGACGCATTCAAAAATGCCGTTTTGGATCTGCCAGCAAACGAGTGGAATAAGTGCTTCGAAAATTGGTTCGAGCGCATGCAGATGTGTATTAATCTTCGTGGAGAATACTTCGAAAAATAATAAAGTCGTTTAAAACTACATACCGTGTTGTTTTATTTCCATATGCAAAACTTAAAAGACAAAAACAAAAAAGTTTTAACTATTTTGTACGGATTTGTCTAAACACATTCTTTAATATCACATATCTTAGGGATTACTGAACCATGTTTGTTGAAATTTCGCAAGATAACAAAGCTACCTAGTAACGTAAAACTGGGCGCAGAGCTAAGGAATGCAGGACCCGGTTCCTTCCACTTTTTTGTTTTTTATCAAAATCAGCGCCTTTTGAGCTGAGTATTTAATTGTTTGACTATGTTAAAAAAGTCACTGAATGGTGCTGATTAATTAGCAAAATAGATCGACTGCTTCTATTTTGATTTTCAAGTTGGACTGGAAGATACAGTTTAGTGGAATTGCATACGGGTATTAAATGCCGTTTTACCTTTTAGCAGAACTCATGTTGTACAATATAAGTTAGATATTATAAAGTAAATAAGGCGCATAACATTAATTTTGCATTTTATTTATATCATTTATCGGTCTTTTTTCTACAAAACAGCAATAAGCTCAGAGTATAACGTACAGGGTGTTGCACTCAATTAAATCAAAAGGAATAAAAAGCTGGTACCATTCCTGGAATTTTCAGTTCTCAAAACACCTTCAGTTCAATTATTATGATGAAATCAAGTTGGTAACGCTTAAAACTTTGTTATTGTGTCACATAAGCTGATCAAAATAAGATATTTGAATAAATAAAATAATTTAATTAAAAACACAAAACGGACGCAGTCAATCTATCTTGCCAATTCATTAACAACATCAATTGGCTTTTTTTGTACACAAACAAATATTTCATTGTCTAAGTGTCGATTTTGATAAAATACAGAAACGTTAAAAAAGTCTAGTCCGGTCCTGGTTTTTAAAACCGCCTGTCTAGTTCTTCTAGGTAACTTTGTTATTGTGCGGAATTTCAGCAAAATCGGTTCAATAGTGCCTAAGATATGTGAAATTTCACATATGATGCTACCATTTCACTATGCCCATTTAACTACAGTATGTCGATATACTAATAAATACAGGTATTTGAGTTCTCTCCCAGTTATTTGATGATGTACTAAAGGTTAAATTCTTAAGGAACCAGATTCTCCCAGTGATAAAACATTCACAAGAAACTGGAGAAACCATAAAACCAACGTTCCCATATAAATCCTGATTATCCCAGTAACCAAGATCGTAAAGAGAGAATTTACGCCTTTGACCTGAATTGTGTGAGACAGTCCATCTCCTCCATTTCCGGAAGCACCTGGAGGACATCAATTTATATGGTAGGATTCCCGTCTATACTTATTTCTCGCTAAACACCTCGTTTCGCTAACATCATTAATTTCTACGATTTCTAGGTGCAATTACTACTCTGTGAACTATTAACGGGCAGATTAACCAAAAGCAGTCGTTTAATTTCTAAATCGATTAAAATTATTGGTGTAAATCGTCTGTGTAAAACAATACTTATACCACAAATGTAAACGAAAGCATTCTTTGCATTTATTTGCTTTGCATAAAGATTTAAGCCCATCAACAAGGGTGCGTGATGCGTCAATTTGTCAAGTTTGTTTTAAGTCCGTTACTTGGAGTGAATTGTAACGATAACACCGTTTTTAGTGTCCGACGTCACTTGTACTAATTTATGGCTTGTAATAATTTATGACAATTCGTAACATGTTGACTGAATCTGGTCGGGTATTTATTCCCATATCGACGACCCGAGAAATAGTCCAGTTGTTTCGCGAGCTTCCATGGGTGTGGTCTAGAAGGCAGCTGGTTCTTTCATACGGGTCTCTATTATTTTTGAACCTCGGCCAAGCCCCCGAGCGGTGACGTTCAGTCGCGCAACTCTGATTGCCCAGCATCGGCATCGCGAAGACGCTCCACGCCACCCAAGGCCCTTGCTATACGAGGGCCATACAGTATGATAAGGGCGTAATGTGTTAGTTTGACATGTCAGTTGAAGGTTAGTCCGATGATTGCGTGAACATTACTTAGATTCTCAAAGAGCAATATTGCATAGTTCGTTCATATTATGGTTGTATAGTAAGTATGCAGCTTAAGAGGCATGGCCGATGCGTAGATATTCAATGGGCATTCACTGTGCATGCACTGTTAGTGTGGGGCTCCAGTAGCTGTCAAGTTTTGACATTATTCTAGTCGTAACTCACCTGCACAGTAGATATTTTAACTAAAACAAGTAAGTCTTACATCTATTCATTGAAACTGTTAATCAAAGTAATGTATAGTTAGTCTTTTTAATTTTTTATAGAGCCCTGCAGAAAAAATATGTTTTAAAAGACATACAAAAAAGACCATCCAGTAATAATGCATTTATTACAAATAATTTCTAGGTATACGTTTGTTTAGGTTAGGACAAAAAAAAAACAATCAGCTTAAACCTTATTTCACGAGTATCCATCACAGCTGATCACAAAATCGACATATTTGTGTTAATTTGTAACGTTGGCAATAATGAATTTCCAGACCGTATTCAGAGCTATTGTTCACAAATCAGGATCATATTTTTAAGTCGATGGGAAATGGGACAATAAATTGTACAAGTGCAGATATAGAAAAGTTTATTAGAAAATTATTATAGTACATCTGGGATATATTGATTACATGGTATGTCAATAAAACAGGTTGCGTAGTCCTTTCCAGAAGCTGTAAATTCACCGGGTAAAAATAATATAGACACGTGTTTCTGGTTTATTGTCCGTCATCAGTGTAACGTAATTCATCAAAAGCTCATAACTAATCACATCAAAGCTAATACACTCACAAAAAAATACGAAAACGACCTTCATACATCATATGCATCATACCACTCAAGCAGCAAAATAAAATATACTTCCTGGAATTTCCCATTTCCTCGTTATGTAACGATGGCATAGCATCAATTTGCCGACTTGGTATATCCTTATGAATATCTTACTCTCTTTGAAAAAAATATCAACTACGTTTGCGTTTCCTTTGGATTTTTGCAGAGTTCTCAACACTTGACCCATGCCTGTATTCACGAACACTGAATTGTCCCTGATGTGTGCATTTCATGACTTCCTGCAATAGTTACTTACATTTTTCTATTTGATTACTTGTTAGAATTACCAGAGTAATTTTCAGACCTAATTGAGGGAATCGAACCTCTATCAACTCGGTCATATACTGCCACACATCCTGAACTAAATGTATGGCTATTTCATTGCCCTTTAAGATCATATGATGTTTCAAGTTCTAAAAAGTAGATATAATTAATATAGTCAAAAACAGTTTATCTTATTTTATTCCTACCTGACTTGAAATGTAGTCATGGTCATTAGCAGCCACTGTGCTTGTAGCGTTTACTTCGTATGTAAAGAAACTTCTTTTTATATTAATATCTTTTAACTACATTGCATTTGTAGATGATAAGGCAACTATCTAGAAGTATTTTATAGGAAAAATGAACAAAGTATAACCTTATTTGTACATGCAGCTAAAGACCACAGATGAAAAGGTTCGTTTTTTTTTAAATTTAAGAAAATATTCAATTTCTCAAAAACGGTGACACTTATATTTATTTATTTATTTATTTAAACTCTTACAAACACATTTGACTGCAGTTACATATAGGAGTGCTTACAGGCTAGTAGAGAAAGAGAGAATATACAAAAACTTATAACTAAAAAATAACGAGAAAGAAAAACTATAAAAATTAATAAATGAGATAAGAATGTTTTACTTAAATTTAAAATCAGTCTTAATTTGTCTCACAGTAGTCGAAAGGAGATCCACATCACAATTTTGTATATAACTGTTACACTCATACATCATTCCATTGATAGAAAAACAACTTACAGGTGAACAGTGGAAGAGTTTGTTGCCTCTGATTCTCAAGTTGATTCTAGGAACAGCAAAGAATATATTATTTATGAGGGAACACTTCTTATATTCTAAATTATTAATTATGTAGTAAATGAACAAGATATCATTCAAACTATATGTATATACAATGTGTTTGTTCACGACATACCGAAATTTGAGGGGGATATTTTTCAGCAATTTTTATCGACAAATTCACCCCCTACAATGTCCTACCTCACCCCCCTTGAAATGGATCCATACCGCTGCGAATGAAATTAAGGCTCTTACGGATATGGTCGGCCGCTCAACACGACGCATTGTTTTAAGAACAACATTGTGCATAATAAATAATGGAGGGCGTTTTGAACAGCTTCTATAACATGAAACATGTCCAAACTCTCTATACGAAATATTGATTAGTTATTTTTATGTATAGGAAATTTGAAAACAATTTGCATTTTATTACACTCATTTTGACCTGTGTTAGATAGCATTTATTGCTCAACGTAGAATACTTAGGATAACAAAAAACTGTAGAATTAGCACAAAAAAGTACAGCTTCACTGACTAGTGTGCGGAAATGCACAAAATAATCAATTTTCTTCCATATTTTTTTCTGTTTTTGTCTGTAGGTAAGTATCGCTAGGAGTACATGTCATCGTTCAAATGACACCAAATTTATCATTCCGTGACACTTAAAGCCTACCTTCTCCTTGAGTTTGTCGTGGCACTTCTTGGACACCCTCTATATCCAGAATCATGTTGGCCTATTTTGCAGACAATCAACTCAATTTGGTCCCTAGATCTTCATCGAATACGTTTGGGACATTATGGGAAGAATATTACCCCGTTCACCGGTTGCATTTTCTGAAATTTTGACCAATTACCTAATTCTAAGGGATATGTTTGTATTCATCATTCATTATTACTTACGTCACTTAGTATACATTTTCAAGACTTCGATAAGTTTGAAACCGAAACTGTTTCTTTGGACCCAGATACAACTTACAAGTAATTCAAAAGGTAACTAGAAGACTGATATTAAATCTCGTCTATTTCGGAAAAAGCATTTCTATGATCACCTTTATTTCATTGTTTCGATGCATT